CAACGCCGAGCCTGAACTTGGAGATGGAGTCCGCGGCAAACTGGGGCAGCCACCTGACGATGGGATGCCCGGGCGAGACCTCGAAGCCGAAGGACTTCTGCATGGAGAAGAAGTTCGCTCGGATGACCTTCTTCACCTCCTTCACGCTGGCTTCGACCTCGCCGTTGCTCTTGTGCTCGCCCTTGGGCGACTCCTGCGGGATGCACTCGACATGCTGGCCCGCACCAACCATCACCGCATTCTTGATCGCACAGATGCTCTCCTCGCCGTCGGACTTGAGCACGACGCGGCGATGCCCGAGGTGCTTCAAGAAGCCCACGAGCCACTTGACCACGAAGTCGGACGCGGTCTTGTCCTTGACGGCGGTCGCCCCCTTCATGCCGTACTTGCGGTCCGTCACCACTAGGATGGGGATGGAGCCGTCGTCCTCCACGTCCTGGACCTTCTCCCCGATGAAGGCGAAGTCCATGCTGACGACCGGGTCAGCGCCATCACGATCCTCAGGTCGCCTGGCGTGCTGGGCGCCCAGGCCGGCTGCCCGCACGCACTCCTCGCACCACGAGCGGTAGACCGCGTGTCCTGATGCCAAGTGCTGCTCCCGCTCTGCCTGCGTCGGCGCCCTGCCACGGCGCGCGACTCGAGCGGGTGCCACCTCCGGCGCCTGCTGCTCCTCCTCCTGGCCCACGTCTAAGTCGGTGGGCGGCGCTGGGCCCGGGCTCCCAGCCACGGCGCCGCCTCCTCCCGGCCTTACGGCCAGGCCTGCCGGGGAGGGACTGGCGACCCGCCTTCGACCGGGCACAAGTCCCAGCTCTCGCGGTGGTCGCCGAACGAGACTCTCCTGACGTGGCCTCCCTCGTTCTTCTTGATGTAGCCTGCGTAGATGCCCTTCTCAACATACAGCGGCACCACGCCCGACTCACTCCACACAGCATCTCGGATGAGAGCGTCGACGCGGTTCACGATGTCCGAGCCGGCCGGGAGGATGTAGCCACCCTCCTTCGTCAGCCAGGTGGCCCGGCCCGTGCGGTGAGTCTGCGAGGCCGAGACCAGCGGCTTGTGGATGCTGGCCAAGCGTGCCTTCAGTCTGATCGGCTCGCTCCACTCGGATCGCCCTTGGATGCATACCCCGCCCGAGTCTGCTATTATCTCACCGCTGGCCGTCCGATAGCTCGCATTCGGATCGGCCGGGAGCCGCTCGCCCTTGGTGTTCTCGGGGAAGGTAGTCACGGCCGCGCCCGAGTCGAACGTGAACCTGATCCACTCCTGGTCGTCGACGGTCTCGTCGAAGCTGTTGAGCTCGAGCGTGCACAGCTCGAAGGAGCCAAGGTTCGTGGAACCCACCTGGCTCGCTGAGGGCGGTAGGCTGGTGATCGTGCTGTGGTTGCCGTCGTCCCAGTTGTCTGCGTAGACCGGCTGGCTCGAGCTTGACGCGGTACCGGGCTCGAAGGAGTTGGTGTCCCAGCGGCGGTTCTTGCCCTTGCCTTTGTCCTTGTCTAAGTCCTTGCCCTTGCCTTTGCCTTTGCTGCCCTTGCCGTCGCCGGTCTTCCCGCCAGTCACGCGGGCTGTGCACTCATTCGACGTGTGGCCCCAGCCACTGCAGCGCCAGCACTGCACCGTCCGCTTGTCACGCGGCTTGGTGGTCTGGCCCTTCTTGCCGTTCTTGTCACCCTTACCTTTGGACTTGCCCTTGCCTCCTTTGTACAGCGAGTCCACGTCCATTGGGTCACCTCGCTTCCGTCGGAGTAGGGCACCTTGCGACTGTCTCGACTCCAGGAAACTCCCGATCTCCTCTACGACCTTCTCCGACGTGTCCAACCGATGCTTGTTCATCGCGAGGTGGAGTTCGAGCTCCTCCGGCACCATCGTCTCCAGGGCTGCAACCTTCACGTCATCGTCGACCACCTTGCCCAGGCCGTCTGCTTTCTTCCTCTCGTACCGGCGGATGAGCTCCTCCCACTCCTCGAGCTTGGCGTACAGGTCGCTGAGGGTACACCGCTGCGGGTTCATGATCTGCTTCAAGAGCACCCGGCGCTTGCCCCCCGAAGCGGGGTCCCAGCGCCTGATGAGCTTCCTCATCGCCTCAGCGCCGTTGCCCTTGGGAGTGTTCATCACTAGGGCGAAGCTCTCACCTTCTGTCAGCGTCTGGAGTGCGACATACAGTTGGCTGACCTTCTCGCGGAGGTCTGGAATGAACTCATCCTCATCATCATCGTCACTGCCGAACCTTGCCTCCAGAACCTCCATGCTAATCACCGTGGTCTCCTGCGCCTGATCCTCCACCCACTCCAGCAGCTTGCGGAACTGCTCTCCGAAGACTGCCGTCAGGTACGCGTTCGTCTTGCGGTACCACTCCAGGAATTTCGCTTCCTCGTTCTTGAAGATGGAGGGCCTGCCTAACCCCTTGGTGTCCACGAGGGAAAAGGCCGGCGCAGACGACTTATCCTTTCGTTCATCCGACAGCTTCTGCACCGCATCTCCGAGCTGCTCGGCCAACCGTGGTAGATCTCCCTGCGCCTGTACCTGCCGAGCAAGCTCCGTCCTGATCTGGACATTCTGCTGCTGCATCTGCTCGGCCTGCTGCGACAACTGTGCATTCTGAAGCCTCAGCGCCTCCACCGCTGACTGCAGGCTGGCTAGGGCCTGCCTCTCTTGGTCGTTCATCGCAGCTGCCTGGCCTTGACGTACTTGAGGTACTCACCGAGCACCGACCAGAAACCTTTCAGGTACTTCTGCTTCAGCACCTTCGCCACCACGTGGCGCCACCTGCGCTGCACCCTGCCGTTGGTCTTCTCGACCTGAGCCTCCTCGTCTGGCACCCACAGCCACACGCCACCAGCAGCCCCGCTATCGCTGCTCGACGCCGTGACTGGAGTGTGCAGGGCGGGCCGCGCTGGAGCGCGGCCGGGCTGGTGCGCGGGAGCGCCGGTTAAACCGACGCTCCGCTACCATGCAACGCTCCTTTGACACAAATGAGCTGCGGACGTCAAACGATATCGATAAGAACAGATACCACTGATTGTGCACGTGAAGGGAAACAAAGAGGCCCTCGTACATTACAAGGGATGCGCGCCCCCAGGGCCGCGATCCTGGCGCAAATGAAGCCGTCCTTGGCATCCGAATCCTGACCAAACTGACCTGGATCTCGAGTTCGAGCTGCCTGAACACATAGCTCGCCCAGAGCTGGGTGCAATAAGCCAGCCCACCTCGACCATGTAATTACTCGGGGGGGACCTTTCCAGACAAGAACGGGAAGCGCGGATTCGCTGAGCTTGCGTGCGCACGCGCGCATGGAGTTGCACCCAACACGCATGTGTGGGCATGGGGTGCAATCGCTGGGATCCCCTGCATGCCCAGATGGTTGCCATTGGTAGCTCATGTTTGGTGGCTGCCTGTGCTTGCTTCGGTCAGGTGTTGCGCGTGGACTGTGCACATCTGTGTGTGTGTGTGTTTGTGTATGCGTCTGTGCGTGTGCCTGTGTCTGTGTGTGCCTGTGTGTGGCTGTGCGTGCAGGCAGGGTGTACGGCGTGCGTGCGGGGTGTGCTCTGGGGGGGACGGGCGGGGGTGCGGGGTGCGTTCTGGGGGCGACGGGCGGGGGGGTGTACGGTGGGCGTGCAAGATGTGTTCTGGGGGGGACGGGCGGGGAAATGTACGGCATGAGTATGGACTGTGCATGGTGTACGTCTCTATATGGCTATTCGAGTGCTCGGGGGGTGTCATTTGTTCTGTGTGTTGCATGCATCGTGTATTGCGTCGTGTGGCAGTCATTGATGGCAATGACACTGACGATGATGATGACGATGGCGATGGCGCAGATTGTGTCCATGATGTTGACGATGATGATGATGATGATGATGATGATGATGATGGTGATGATGATGATGCTGATGCTGATGATGATGGAAATAATGATGATGATGATGATGATGTTGATGATGATGATGATGATGATGATGATGATGATGGTGATGCTGATGATGCTTCTAAAGCTCATGCTGCTGCTGCTGATGATGATTATGATAACGGTGGCGATGATGATGATGATGATGATGATGATGATGATGATGATGGTGATGATGATGATGATGATGCTGATGATGCTGCTGCTGATAATGATACTGATCACCTGTCCTGCTTGACGTTTTAACCCGCATGGCCGTTTTAACCCGCCGAGCTTTTGACTCGCATGGCCGAAAGATTCGCTAGATTCGCGAGCGAGCTCAGAAGCTCATTGTTCGAGGATGTCTCGAACAAGAGCCTCATGTTTAACGAAAATCGTCTCAAACATACGATCTCAACATCTCAATTGTTCGAGGACGTCTCGAGCGAGATGCCCATGTTGGGGGGAGTTCGCCAAGCGATGAAGTGTTTACGGCAAGGAGCGAGTTGTCCCTCACGGGTTTGTTCGCTAGTGATTCCTTATTCAGCTTCCTTTAACAAACTCCCATCAGTTTCTCGTTCCGAGAAGGCGCTTCCCGTCATCTGCCAGCCCGCGCACTGGAGGACAAGTTTCCTCACTAAAAGAGAGCCCTGGGCCCACGCCCTGTCCCAGGGAGACAAATCAGATGGTATCCTCCTCCTACCCCTCCTCCTTGCCACCATCCTCCAGGCATCACTCCCTCGTCCTCCTTCTCCCCCCTTTCCTAATCATCCTTGTCTTATTCCTCATCCTCCTCCTCATCATCATCACCACCACCATCATCATCATCATCCTCTTGCTCCCTCCTCCTCCACCGCCTGCTCTGCGTTCTCCTCCTTTTCTTCCTCCTTGTCCTCCTCCTCCTCCTGATTCCCCCTCTCAACCCCAAAAATCCCTCTCCTCCTCCTCCTCCTGCTCCTGCTCCTCATGCTCCTCCTCTTGCTGCTGCTCTCATCCTCACCTTCCTCACCTTCCTCACCTTCCTCACCTTCCTCCTCCTCCTCCTTCTCCTCCTCCTCCTCCTCCTCCTCCTCCTCCTCTCCGCTCCGTGCCTCACACGAACTGGGCCCCTGGGGCGGGCGGCCTCAACCTGCTTGCGAAGGCGGTCGAACTCCTGCCTGGCGGGAGGAGTGGGGGGCGGGGCAGGGGTGGTGGGTGGGAAGGCGCGCGCGCAGCGGAGGGAGGGCGGGGGGGAGGAGGGGGAGGAGGTGGTGGAAGAGGGTGAAGAGGAGAAGGAGGAGGAGGAGGAGAAGGAGGAGGAGGAGGAGGGGAAGGAGGAGGAGGGGAAGGAGGAGGAGGAACATTAGGAGAAGGACGAGAAGGGAGTTGAGGAGGAACAAGAGGAGGAGGAGGACGAAAAGGAGGAGGAGGAGGAGGAGGAGGAGGGAGAAGAGAAGGAAAAGAAGGAAAAGGAGGTGGAGGAGGAGGAGGAGGAAAAGGAGGACCCACGCTACCCGAGAGGTCCGCGGGAAGCCTCAGAGCGTGCCGAGCGGCGCAAGTGCCATTGTGGCTCTGCGTGCAGGCAAGGGAGTTCTGGGAGGCCGCGTCCAAGAGGCGGAGGAGGAGGAGGAGGAAAAGGAGGAAAAGGAGGAAAAGGTTGAGGAGGAAAAGGCGGAGGAGGAGGAGCAAACGTCACCTAAGGGGCAGGTCCGTTCGATCAACCCGCTACGTGTAGGTCATGGAGTTCTGGGAGACCGCGTCCAGGAGGAGGAGGAGGAGGAGGAGGAGGAGGAGGAGGAGGAAGAGAAGGAGAAGGAGAAGGAGGAGGAGGAGAAGGAGCAGCAGGAGCAGGAGGAGGAGGAGGAGGAGGAGGATGAGGAGGAGGAGGAGGAGGAGGAGCGCCCAGAGCAGGAGGAGGAGGAGGAGGAGCGGAGGAAGCGGAGGAGCAAGAGGAGGAGCGGAGGAGGCGGAGGAGGCGGAGGGGTGGGGTTCCGTAACCATTTGGGCGCAAAACTCTTTCAATTCATCTACTGCATTTGTCTTCCTACGGTGTTGTGCGGCCCTTCGGGTGCGCGGATTCACCCACCGGTGCGCGGCATGGCGCGCGGTGGTGGCATCCCTGTCCGGCACGGTTATTGCGTGGCCCACGTGCGGTCCGTCCAGGAGGCGGCACGGCCCAGCCCATTGCCAAGCTCGGCGGGCAGGGCGAGATGCAGCAGCTCGAGGAGTTCCAGCCTTTGCTGGACGAGGCGCAGGGTTGCCTCGGCCTCGACAGGAAGGACGTTCGGCGAGGCTTGGTGCAACGGGGCAGAATGATCTCGCAAAGGACTTCGTGCTCTGGCGGCAGGGGAGGCGAGCAGTGGCCCATCCACCAGCCGCAAGCTTGCCGCACAAGGTGCTGCAGGCTCTTCGCAAGCCGCTGCTGGAGGGCGGCGGTGGTGGCATCTCCATGGAGTCGGCCTCGGAGGACGTCGGCTTCGACGAGGAGAGCGAGCAGTTCAAGCAGGAGCTTGGACACGAGGCTACGGAACACGTGCAGTCCCATCACATTGATCAGACCAAGGTCTCCAGCAAATCGACCCCGACGGGTGCTCAACCCGAGTCTTTCCGCATCGGTTCGGAGGTGGCTGGGGCTCCGAATGCAAGGGTGCTGGAGGACACCTAGGAGATTCTCCTTACGCTGCGGGCAGACTTTCTTAGCCTCTTCGCCCAGAAGGTCAACCAGAGCACGATGACCATCGGTGGCGAGACCACGCAAGGCAGAGCTTTCCCGAACAAGTTTGCTGGTGCAGCTAAAGACGGGCAGGCATCTGACGCGGAAGACGACCTCTCCACCAAGGAGGCCTCGGAGGTCGGAAGCTTCTTCAACAACGCCGTTTCGACCGTGGACTTGAAGCCGCAGCTGCCTCCATGAGCTTCCCCACATACGGGTGTGGAGCTGGAGAGTGCTCAGAAGGAGTCCGCTGATGCAGTCGACGACGAGCAGGAGTCCGACTACAGCGCGGCCATCTCTACAACGGAGGTCTCAAATGTCGGAGATCACATCAAAAAGTTTGCAGCTACTCCCAAGCAGGACGCCAGGACCATTGGCAAGCTCAACCTCACGACCGCCATCCCGACCATCGAGTTCCTGCTCACTGTCAGTGGGCTGAATTTTCCGTCCAAGGAGGACGCCAGCGACTCTTTCCTCACAGCGGTTGAAGCCCGCCTCCAAGACACGCTTGCGAATGAGGCGTCTGTGAAGGAGCTCTCGCACTTCTGAGCCACGAGCCTCACCAGGAGGGCCTGCGGTGAGCCGCCCTGCCCTGCCGTCCAGCATGGCGCCCCCAAGGAGGAGGGCGCCAGGTGGGCTTTGCATGGCGGGGGCAATGCAAGCCTCCGACTCCCTAAACAGCGAAGAGGCAAGGTCCTGACCCGGCTGTTGAGGGCCTCTGTTCCTCCCCTCCCCCTCCCCTGAAGCAGAATGCATGAGCATGTTTCGCCGTCATATAGCTTGCAGAGTTCTCGCGGGGGGGGGTAGGGGAGAGCAGGTGGAGGGTTGCGACATCACCCCACGGACAACGCGGCTGGTGGAGGGCCAGCTCCGCGTCTGGGCAGGCCCATGGCGGGAGAGCCGCGGGCAAGCCTTTCTGGGGACTTCGGAAGCACCATTCTCCTCCTTCCCTCTCTTCCTCCCTCCTCTCGGTCTTCCTTCTTCTCTATGGTGCTTCCTTAGTTGTCCCTCTGTGGACGTGGACTGAGCTGCTGCTGGGGGTCCAGGTTCCCGAAGATTGAGTTGGGGGAAAACAGTTGGGATCATAGCAGCGCCAACCACCTCCAAGGGTTTCTCTGATCCGCTTCTCACCCCCCACCTCACCCTCCCGAGGCAGGAGCTGTCCGCCTGGAGGCAGAGGTTTGGAGCGCGGCGGGTCCCAAGGGCTTGCCCCCCCTGCCTGCCGAGCGGCCTGTGGTGTCTCCCCCCTCCCTGTCCCTTTCTCCCCTCTTGCTGGTCGTGCTGACCGCCCCTGGGGGGGCCAGCTGTTGCACGACTGACCCTAGCGATGGGGTGGGATCCCCTCGGCTAACCACCGAGGCCCCACCCCTACCAAAGGGGGCTTTGGTGTGCACCAGGGGGACCCCCCCGCGCGGCCACTCTCCTTCCCCGCCCACTCGTCCCAGGCTGTGAGGCGGGAGGGTGTTTGGCGGCAGCCACAGGGGCCAAGGTATCGGGGTCGCCTACTCTTCTCTTTCCCTCTTGTCCTCCCTCGTCTCGGCCTTCCTTCTTCTCCGTAGGCGCCCCCTTTGCCTTTCGGCACCTCTAACTTGTTGTCCCTTTCTGCTCCTAGAGTCGGCTTGTGGACTGAAGAGTGCACCAGTGCACCAGAGGCGGAGGGGTGGAAAGGCGCGCGCGCAGCGGGGGGGGGAAGGGGGAGGGGGGAAGGGGGAGCAGGAGAAGGAGAAAGAGGAGGAGGAGGAGGAGGAGGAGGAGGAGGAGGAGGAGGAGGAGGAGGAGGAGGGCCATTCTGGCCCCTGCGGGGGGGGTGCTCCCCACCACCCGCGGGAGGGGGGGCTGGCCCGAGCGCGCTGTCCACCACGCGGCTGACGGCGCGCCGTGCGGTGCGTTTGCCACCAAAAACTTCACGACCCCGGTGAACATCATCAAGATCAACGTGAAACACGTCGAGATCACTAGAAGCCAGGGCATACCGCGACTAGAACATCAACCACTAGCCGTTGAACCAGAGACACGAGACTTACACACTGCCGTGGAGACGCGCTGGCAAGTATGCCGAGACCATACACGCATAGAATTACATGGGCGCGAACAGACGAGACCCAAAAACGAGCGGGGTACAACGTCCGACATGGGATACAGCATCGACCCGACGACACCCTTCTCATTGCTACGACCGCCCTCGCGAGAGCGTCCAAGCACGAACTGCGTAACAGGCAGCCCCAGTGCGAAAACGAGCTGCGTAACAGGAAGCTCAAGTACGAGAATGAGCTGCGTAACAGGCAGCCCAAGGACGAGTACCACCACCACTACAATACCAAGTACGCCACCAAGACCGACACCAGGAACGACACGACCGAGCAACCCGAAAGGGTTACTAAGTACGTAGTCGTGGAGGTACCACTGGACAACGGCCGCGCCGCCTACGACGAGTACGACTACGGCCGCGCCGTCTACGACGAGTACGACTGCGACAACTTCTTCGATAGCGACCTGTACTCCTACGACCCCCAGAACTAATTCGGCTTCCAGGACTACGTCGGGCCGCAGGGCAACGACAGCCGCCAGGACTATAGGGGCACCCAGAACGTGAAACGCTACGACTTGGCAGCCGACGTCTCCGACTCGGACCCAGGGGACCACGAAGAGAGCGTGCCGTCTAAGCTTCTACGGCCACCAGGAGAGCTACCAGGGCCACCAGACGGCCTTGGGGAAAGCTGAGCTACGAGCACCGCACGCACAGCTACGAGAGCCACTAGAAGAGAGTCAAGACCCACCTGTCGAGCTGCGCGGGCCATCAGCAGAACCACGAGAACCACAAGCTGAGCTACGGGGACCGCGAGCTGACCTACGTGAGCAACAAGCAGGGCGCTAAGAGGCCCACTGACGGAGCCACGAGGGCCGCCAACTCGGATACGAGGACCACCAACAAAGCTACGTGGACTACCAGGTGAGCTACTGGAGCCACCTGCTCAGCTACGAGAGCCACGAGCAGAGCTTCGAGAGCCACCGGCAGAGCCACGAGGTCCACCTGGAAACTACGAGGGCCACAACCCGAGTTTCGTGAGCAAAGAGCAGAGCTACTACAGCCACCAACAGAGCTACCAGGACCACCAGCGGCCCTTCGAGGGCCACAAGCTGAGCTACCAGGACCACCAACGGCCCTTCGAGGGCCACAAGCTGAGCTACGAGGGGCACAGCTACGAGAGCCACCAGAAGAGAGTCAAGACCCACCTGCCGAGCTACGAGAGCCACCAGCAGAGCCACGAGAGCAACCTGAGCCACGACGACTGCAAGCTGAGCTGCGAAAGCCACAAGCAGGTGCACCTCCTGAGTTACGAGGGCCACAGGCTGAATTACGAGGGCCACAAGCAGGGCTACGACGACCACTTGTTGAGCTACAAGAGCCACCAGGGGAGCTGCGAGAGCTACCGGCTGAGCTACGAGGGCCACAGGCGTAGCTAC